TTTTTTTTTTTTTTTTTTTTTTTTTTTTTTTTTTTTTTTTTTTTTTTTTTTTTTGACATCAACCCAAAACCGAACCAATTCAATTCGAGTTCAGAAAAATGAACCCAACCCAATCCAACAGTTCGGATTGGGTTGGTCCAGGTTGTCGGGTTGAATGTACACCCCTGGATATTACTAGCCTTATTTTGTATTTATTGCTCTTGAATTTATTCTAATTTTGTGCTCTTAGTGGGTAGAAATTAAATAGGTTGCCAATAAATACTTGATTAATATATTAATATTAATATTATTATTATTATTATTGAGATATTAGAAATTGTTTATATAATTGAAATTGTGAAACAATGTCTACTAATTAATTTTTTTAAAAAATAAAACTAAATAGACTTTGATAATCATATGCGATCGTAGTCATTTAATCCACACGTCAACTTACTCATAACACATGAGAAATGTTTATCTGATGATCTTGATCGGGTCAACTAAATCGAATAGTCAGGCAAAATAAACAAATGCAATCTTAAATAACGATAAGATAGAATTTAAACACTATCATTAAGATAAAAATTCGTCCAACCAACAAGAACCGTGGATCGGATCAACCATATCAAATAATCACGTAGATTAAACAAATATAATCTTAAAGTAACGATACGAGAGAACTGCAAATTTAATCCTTAGAGCTTCGTCGGGTCTAAAACGCTATCACCAAGATAAAAATTCATCCAACCAACAAGAACCCTAAAACGCTATGAACTAATCTATTCCATATCCCATCAAATTCCATCTTAGACATGACTCTTTGAACCTTTTAAGATTATAAAGAATATTTGAACAACAAAGCATAAACTAATAGACCAACCAATTTTTCTTTTGCTTTTGCCTTTTGGCTTTTCAATTCTTTTAATTTTCTGTTCTTCAGCTTTTGAACAGAAATAGATTATAAATAACAAGTTTCGATAGCTTAATATCTCTCCCTTTTCAACACACTGACCTAAATTGAGTGTCTTGATTGTTGCTACTCTGTTCTAGCTCAAGCCCATGACAAGACCCATTCAGAATGAACCCAGAAATCACAATAAGAGAAAGGTTTTACTTTAAACTCAGAAATGATTGCTGCTACTTTAATCTAGCTAAAGTACACTACAAGAGTATTCAGAACAAAACAAGACGGATCTGTCACGGTAGTAGGCCCACCGCTAGGAGATATTGTCCTCTTTGGGCTTCCCCTTTCGGGCTTCCCCTCAAAGTTTTTAAAACACGTATGCTAGGGAGAGGTTTCTACATCCTTATAAAGGGTGTTTCGTTTTCCTCCTCAACCGGTGTGGGATCTCACAATCCACCCGCTGTCCTCGCTGGCACTCGTTCCTTTCTCCAATCAATGTGGGACACCCACCAAATCCACACCCCTACAGAGCCCAGCATCCTTTCTGGCACAGCGCCTCATGTCTACTCCTTTGGGAAACAGCCTCCTCACTGACACATCGTCCGGTCTCTGGCTCTATTACAATTGTAACGGCCTAGGCCCACCGCTAGCAGATATTGTCCTCTTTGGCCTAATCCTTTCGGGCTTTCCCTCAAGGGCTTTAAAAAGCGTCTGCAAGGGAAATGTTTCCACACCCTTATGGAGGGTGTTTCGTTCTCCTCTCCAACCGATGTAGGATCTCACAAACATTTCGCCGAACAGGGTGGTTTGGTTTGTCATACCATAGCCACTAGCATAGCTAGGGGCAACCATCCCATAAAACCTAAGCAACTGAGAAAGAGCAACTCTTCCTTTGATCCTATCTTATCAATCACTTCGCCCATAAAAAGTTGAAGTTGTTGAGATAATGTAAATCTAAGCATTGAATAAAGGCTCAACATAAAGAACTAATGCTCTTGTCTCGATTGCTATCAACAAAAATTTGAAATCTATTTACAACTAAAGTCAATTCAGCTTTTAATAAGTAAACTCTAATTGGATCTTTTTTTCAACTTAATCATCCTGGAAAGCTATAAACATCAAACAACAGCCAATTCCACAAGAAGAGATCAGAAGCAACAGGCTACCACAAATAAAGAAAAAAAGAAAAGAGAAAGATTTGATACAATAGGGTAACCTGGAACTGTCGACCATTAGTTTCTGATCAGCTTAATTTGGCTAGCACTTTGTAGCGAGTGTGGATTCATCATGCTGGGAGGATTCGGGTTTACCATTCGTCTACCGTCTTCAATGACACGAAACATGGTAACTTTGAGCACGATTTCTCTCACCCTCAGAAGCTCAAACACACAAACGTCGCCCTCCCCTAAATTATTTTCCAGGCAAAATTCATACCATCCCTGACTTAACTTGGCCCGACCAACTTTATAAAGACACCGGACCGGCCACTGTCTCCCATCCGGTGTCTGAAGTTTGATGAATCCTGAAACCCCACTTAGATTCTTTTCAGCAAAGCAAGATGGCAAATACTGTAAAAGTAGAGTGCAGACTATCATAGTTAGTGCTCACATAATTCAATTGTAAAGCTCCCATATTAGATATTTCAATAACCCAAAAATCTTACCATTATGCAACCCCTGTATAGATAAGATGGTCGCAAGACGACCCTACAGAAGGGATTGGCGGGCTCGAACGCTTTTGCACCGTTGACAACTCTTTCTCTTTCTTCTGCTGTCACAGTTCTCTTTCTAGCAGAAGCACTTTCATAAAATCTAAAGCGATTGTCACCGAAATCTTCACTATGAGCAGACAGACGATGCTCGCCTACAGATCGTAAAATATTGGGTAAGATAATTCATAGATTTACAATGCTAAAATGTGAAACAATGGGACAGGAGCATACTAGAATCAAGTTTCCGCTTCTTGCCTCCACTTTTTTTAATTCTGTGTGCATCATCACCCAAATTCTGGAATCTCACCTCATCTGCAGACTTTTTAACCTCCACAGCACTAAACTGAACCCCGATATCTCGAGTAGGTAAATATTTGGATTGCAACGTACTTGCAGATTTTGATTGGTGCAGATTCCATTCATCACCAAATAGCTTGTTTCGTAAAAAACCCGAGTTCAAAGGCTGATTGGAAGGAATGGCTTCAGGAATGTCATAATCCTCCATTTCTTCAAAGATTCGGTTTTGAATGCTGTAATTGTTCCTTTGATTACCACCGAGAGCAGCAGATTGGTAGTTTATCTCAGATGTATTAAGATTAAAGATAAAAATACAGAATGATGAGTTTCCCTCATATCTGAATACTAACAAAAACCCGACCCTTATCGAGTAATGCTCAAGAAATCCATGCCAACCATCTTCAAACCAAAACTTATTATCAGCTTTCCTCAACCCCACACGCCAAACATGGCCATCAGGAACAGTAAGTGTTGCAACTGCAGAAAGATCATCCCTGATCATCCGGAGGAAACTTTCCGGGATTCTCTGCAAAAATATTGAGCAGTAACGGCGTCACATAAATGATCGATAATACAGAAACATAACACCATTCCAACATATTCAACAAGATGACTGCAGGCACTATTACCATTCAACAAACTAAGTCTTCCCTCCCGAGCTTCCCCCCAATGTTTTAAAACACGTCCAGTAGGGAGAGGTTTCCACACCCTTATAAGAAACGTTTCGTTTCCCTCTCCAACCGATGCGGGATTTCACAATCCACCCCCTTAAGAGACCAACATTCTCACTGGCACACTGCCTAGAGTCTGGCTCTAATACCATTTGTAACAGCCCAAACCCACTGCTAGTAGATATTGTCTTCTTTGGGCTTTCCTGTTCGGGCTTCCCCTCAAGGTTTTTAAAACACGTCTGCTAGGGAGAGGTCTCCACACCCTTATAAAGAATGTTTCGTTCTCCTCTCCAACCAATGTGGGATCTCACAAAGCCAAAGGGAAATGCGGCATAATTGAAAAGGGGAAATAGTAGAACACTTGATCTATGATTTTAAAAACAAAAATCCTCTAAAGTGGCTGCAGCCAACAGATAAATTGCATAACATGGAAAGCCTAGGCCAAGAAAACCAAGCAAAAATAAGTGATAGCATAGACTGCATTATGAGAAGCACACAAACCCAAAGCAGTAAGCTAACATAACGTTTAGCAAGAATAACAAAAGCTTAACATGATGAGCAGTGAAAATAACAATACAACAAAAGACCTATGGAGTTCGCTTTTGACAAGATCCCAACTACTAAACTGGACTAATTCAGCACTAAGAAACACTGGAAAAATATATCAATACTCATTACCAAGGAATCAAAATCTATTATTATGATAAGAACATAATGATACAATGCATATCAAATTAGAACAAATCTAAAAATGCCATCCCTAAAGACTAAGAAGCAAGAACTTGAAGAGAAGGGGTCCAAAATTGAGAAAGTTACTGAGAAGCAAATCATTTAGTATGCATAGCCAATGCATTCAGATTGCTGAAACTAACAAAAAGAATCAAAAACATGATTAATAAGCTTGAAAAATGAAAAGGTCAAGCTCCAAATTCAACAATAATAGCCATATTACGACCAAACAAGTTCTTTGATTAATCAAAACTAACATAAAAGTAAGTAAATCATCGACAAAACCAAGTATATCCCAATTGTTTTTCCTTCTTCCCTGATAAAACAGAACACAGATATCTAGGTTTTAGCTTGATTCCATCTGAAGCTTGTTGAACACGAAAGAACTCAGCAAGAAATACACAAGGAACAAGAAAAACTGAGAAACAAACAGTAAAAAGAAGAGCACTCGAGGCTGATTACTCAAAAAAACAAGCAAGGGAAGCAAAACCCGTTAAAATCAAACAGAAAAGAATCAAGAACGAACCAATTTCCTAGCTTGGATAGTGGAAGAGAGAACAAGCTTGTGGAAATAAGGGCGCGGCATTTTCCTTTTGAGATAGCCCGTTCGGAAAGCTGAAAAATCAGTCATTCAGCATAACGATTCAAAGCCCTCCCTTCAATTTTTTTTTTTTTCTCGTAAGAATCCAATCAACCGGCCGACCGTTCGCCGGATTTCTCTCTCTCAATCTCTCCCCTCAATCTCCGCCGTATGAGACTCTGTTCTATGAGCCCTCAGATCTACTTGCCCCTCTTCCACTGATTCTTCTTCTTCCAGTCAAATTCCATTTCTTCGAATTAATAATTAAAACTAAAAACAAAAGTCCAAAAAAGAAAAAAAAAAAAAAAAAAAAAAAAAAAAAAAA